ATATATATATATAATGTGTGTGTTCTGGTCACCTCTGCTCTAGCTCTGCATGTACAGTAGCGATGAGCATGCCTGTCTGCACATCTGTAACCGCCAAACACGAATCCTCCCCAACACTCAGTATATGTCTGCTGTCTGAACACAGAAACAAAATTTTATAAAATGACCCTTCAAAACAACAACAACAAAAAAAAAGTGACAGAGTCACAGAGACCTTGATAAATTTTCTAAAGTAAATAAATATACATTACACACACTCACCAGGACTGAAGGCCACCTGATTAATCTTTCCAGAATGGCAGGTCAGCTGATTTAGTGGGAGAGGGTTGGCAATGTCCCAAAGAGTGAGTGTTCCTTCTTTAGTACCCGTTGCCAAAAGTGTGCCAGCTGGGCTGAGATCTAAAGTATTAACCTGTAAATCAACTACATGTCAACTAATTCTCAGAGTAGACTGTTAGGGTAGGTTTAGGGTTAGTAGAATAAGTTGACAAAGAAAGTGTTAGAACATATTAAGCAGACAGTCTACTAATACTCTACTAACTGCTAGTTGACATGTAGTTGCAAAGTTACTTACTGTTAATAGAATGTCTAAAGTGGACTATCGAAATAAAGTGTTAGCCAAATTTGTGTTGGATATTAGAATAAGTCAAAAATCTTGTACACCTCACATGAAGAGTGCAATCTATGCGGGTTTCTGCCTATATAGAGTATTTAAAATCACTAAAGTCACTCCATTTCAGTCAGGATGCAGACTTAAGCCTTGTTCACACCAACATGAGTGACAATGACCGTTGGTCAGACCAGGGGTGTGTTTCCCAAAAGCAACTATGGTCACAAGTTCCATCATTACCAACAGAGTTCAACAGAAATTACCATAGTTGACTAACGCTGCTTTTGGGAAACGAACCCTGGTAAGACTCACTCTGCTCACTGGTGTGTGTTTACCTGAGTGAGCAGCAGGTATCTTGTGGATGACTTTACTACTAAGGAGGTCCCATACACTGAGATCTCCTGACATACCTCCAGACAACACAGTGTTACCATCCCAGCAGAGACACCTAAAAGAAGGAAAGTGATCTTTGGCTTAGAAAATATAGGAATTTCTGCATGTTTGTTCCTTCTTTAGTACCCGTTGCCAAAAGTGTGCCAGCTGGGCTGAGATCTAAAGTATTAACCTGTAAATACAAATGTATATACAATATACAAATTAGATAAATGTTAAAATTTTAGACAAAATAATATAAAGGCACTTTTCCTCAATATGGCACAAATAGCATCAGTGCACTCATAAATGTACAATTGCACAACTCTGCATGTTCTTTAGTGAGAGAACTATTATATATGCCACATTCAACCATAAGATTACAGAATTATATAACAGAGGAGGATTGAAATCTGCTAAAACTGACACTCAATTAATTATGGAAACATTATTTATGACGTATTATATTTTAATCTCTTATTTTCATTTTGTTTATAACCCTAAATAACTTACACTATTAAAAAAACGAAACTCTTCTAAAATTGTGGCATGGACATCATTTAGACACTTTGTATAGCATAAGACAAGCAAAAAATCTCCCATTTTCTCTATGTTTACATACTGAATTTGTCAAGCTCAACCAATTAACTCTGTTACCCAAGATCTTGTAATGTAACGAAATATAAATCAAACAATAACATTTTAGCTAAATTTATGGGAAATGTATAGCAATAACTAACCAAAATCTGGTCCAACCTAGCTAGCAACTACTGAGTGATCGCTTAAATTGGGCAAAATATGAAATCTTTTTGTAGCTTGAATAAAGTTATATAGCGAAATCTAATAATATTGATAACCCTTTCTATTCCAGTTTGCACTGTTTTTGACTGGCTTTAGTCAACTGTGCATCGTGGCTAGATGTCTCTGCTACAATTTGTCATACAGTCTGACATAAACATTGTACATCTGCCTTGCCTACAATCTGTCAAGGAATTATCTTAAAAAAAAAAAAAAAAAAACTACTACAGTGTATAGCAGGTTTAAGAGACTTAAGATTTTTTATTTGAAAAACTAAAGAGACTAAACTTTTACACCTCTATTCTGAAAAGTGCCAAAAGTGAATAATCAGCTGTTCGACACATTTGTCTATATTGCAGTTTTTTTTTTTAAGGATTCCTCAGCACCAACCCCGGCCTCATGTTCAAATTCAGCAAGCAGGTCAAATCGAGTCCTTTTATTACTTGAGATGTCATCTGCTACACATTTCCAAATCTGTTCAAGTAAAACAGAGAAAGTAGGAAGTCAATTGAAACAGAAGGTGATTTACATATAAAAATTATTTGTTTTGAAGTATCTTTAATCATTAGAACCATATAAATGGAAGGTAAATTAGAATATGCCACTATAATTTTTTTGTAAGATGTCACAAAAGTTCTTCAATATTCACAAAGAACATCAAGATCTTAGTGAAATCAGCCAATTTTCTTTTTTTTTCTCTTTTTTTCTAGTTCACCAAAAAAAAAAAAAAAGTTACAAAAAAAAAACAAAGTTTTATTTTAAACATTTAGCATCACGTAAACAAGGTGTTCTTGGGAACTATACAGTACATTCAGCTTTGCTCGTAGAGTTAAAACTAAGTTCAGATTTATCCATCCATAAATGTTTTGCAAGAAAGCAAACTTGGCTGGACTAATTAAGAATACCTTCACAGTAGAATCCCAAGATGCTGTGTATAGTTTGTCATCCCTCCAGCAAATATGACTAACTGCATCATCATGACCCATCAAAGTGTCTTGTCTTCTTCCATATGCTACTGAATAAAAATATCTACAGGAAACAAGAAAGGGATCAAAGAGTAGGTGAACAGAAAAAAAGGGAGGAAGACTGATAAAAATGAGAGAAATTAAGAAATGTGTTCAATTGATGACAAGATTTATAGGGATATGATTGTGGTTACTATATAAATGCTTACACATTGTTGTCCCAGGAGGAGCACACAACGATCTTATCATCAGGCAGCATCAGACAGGAGGACAGTGCCTTAAGGGTCATTTGAGAAAAAAAAAAGTTTTATAATGAGGTAATATAAGCTTTTATCTAACCTGGCCATGGTATACAGGTTAAATAAACATATTTGGACACTTAAATTACAAAATATGTTACACTTCTATAAAAGTTTTTTTTTTTTACATAAATTTTCCACTTCCCACTCACTGGGGAATAAAACCACCTTGGTTCACGAAAAAAAAGACAAACAAAAACAAAACAAAATCAACAACAACAAAAGCTCCACATATGACAAAAATCACACAAATCTACACCATTCACATATTCTGGCCTGGAACACCACAAAAAACAGACAAGTAACGTGTTACAGACAGCAAAACGTCCCAATGAAGTTAAACTAAATAGTAGCATTCTTCGATTACTGCTTGGCCAATCAAATTAGAGCAGTGGTATTCAGTCCTGGGGACCCACCATTCTGGACATTTTGTATGTCTCTTATTTATGTGCAAAACATCATAAAATCTCACTGAGATGATACCAAGTGACCAGACAATATTGTACCAGAAGAATAGTGTGAGGAAAATTTTTTTATTATCAAAAAATCCCACCACTCACTGGTGTGTCCCGGTTGCACTCAAAAATCTTCATTCTATTCACTCTATTCATTCACAAAGAGAGAATGATATATAACACTTTGGTAACACTTTACAATAAGGTTTCATTTGTTAACATTAACTATATTAGTTAAAAACTAATTGTTTAATTTGTTGTATAATGCAATTAAATAGACAGATTTTTTTAAAGTGCGGCTTAAGTTCAAATACCTTTTGGGGCCACTGTGTTTACTACAATCTCTAGAATGGTTACCATGTTGGCCTGACAGTGATTCAGCTAAAATATTAGTGTCTGAGACACTGTGAGCACGGAGACTGTAGTGTGCACAGCAAATTTTTAAATGCTTAGCTTAAATATGTAATATTAATTAAATAATGCTCATTAATGGCTGCTGAGATACCGGATACCCGGAAACAGCAGTCCTTACGTCATACTTAGAAGACAGATTTTTTTTAAGTGCGGCTTAAGTTCAAATACCTTTTGGGGCCACTGTGTTTACTACAATCTCTAGAATGGTTACCATGTTCGAGAAGGACACGCTTCTTTGCAGTCCATTTTCTTTTGAGAACATCTTCAATGTAGAGTCTACGTGAGGATAAAGGACATGTTAACTAATACTTCCTGTGAGAGGTGATTATTTAATCATTTATGTTCTGAGGAATCAATCTCAGCTAATTTATGGGAATCTGTCATAGACTAATGAGACTAAATAACTGATGAATTCCTAACCTTGAGAAGTTGAGAAGATGGAATCCCCACCGAGGGTCACAGCAATGCCTGTTACTGCTCTGCGGAACCAAAATAATAGGATCAAAAGTAAATTTAAAAACACAATACTAATCTTTGCTTTCAAACAAGCAATTATACAGATAAGGTACTCAACAGATACTCACTCTTTGTGTATTTTGTGGCAAGACTGCAATGCAAGTTTGTTCATGTTGCTCCAGGCCATTTTCTTACTCTCCTCAGTGAGGTCCTCAAATGACTCCATACTAGGAGACGCTACACAAAACATCCATCAAATACTGTGAGGCCATCCTTCTGAAAAATGTGGGCAATCTGGTTTATTGCTAATTTAAAGGGGTCATGAATTGCATTATTTTATAATGTTTTCTGAGGTGCACTTGTAGTAGGATTTAACATCAAAAATTGACACAATTTACAAAGAAAATGACATTTTCAATCTCTAATTTGCATAATCATGGATTCACATATACTAACAGAAGTCAGGGTGTATAGTTGTATTCAAGCCATTTTCAGGCATGAAAAAATAATTTTCATGAGGTGAAAAAAAACATTTAAATATGTCATTTTGATGATCAAATTTGAGTTCTAAGGGACAGCAGAGGGAATTTAAGACTTCAATATAAATTCCCACTTCTATGATTGGACACTTGCTTGGCATTTTCCTGCTTTTTTCTTATGAGTCCATTCTTTTTTAATTTTTGTATTATGTTTACTTAAAACAATGATTTGGCAATCCTCATGTATTATTGTGCTACTTTGTGCAAATATATAGGCTAAGTCTCCTGACAATTCTCTCCCAAGTTGTTCCATTGTTGTCAGCACTATGTCTAATGATGATTCAATGGCCTATGTAACACTTTAAATTGTTCAAATGTTTTGGTTCAGCATCTTGGATTATATGACATTATCATACGTGTAGTATTAATGCAATATTGATATTTAATTTTTTTAATATTGTGACTATTGTCAATACCGCAACACCTCTTATATAAACAAAATCAGTGCATAATTGTACAGTACAATAGCAAAACAACATGTGCTCTTTCCCATTGAGGCTATCTACATTATATGCAGTCAAAGCATATGTCCTAAGCTATCTGGATCCACGGGACCATTCCAGCTTTGCATGCTGGGAAACAGAAGCTTTCGGTTGGATAAAGTGCATTTCCAGTGGCACATTAGGCTGGAAAGAATGTTGTTTGATTACAAAAGAGAAAGCAAGCATCGAGCCATTTCCCTGATGAACAGCTGGAAATTTGTTTGTAGCGAGTAGTTTAAGAATAGTTTAGGTCTTGTTCAGACTGTCAGTCCAAATCTACAGTGATTCAGCTAAAATATTAGTGTCTGAGACACTGTGAGCACGGAGACTGTAGTGTGCACAGCAAATTTTTAAATGCTTAGCTTAAATATGTAATATTAATTAAATAATGCTCATTAATGGCTGCTGAGATACCGGATACCCGGAAACAGCAGTCCTTACGTCATACTTAGAAAGAGGATTCTCCCGAAGCCGTCAAACTGACGTCATCAGAGCAAGAACGCCATTCCAGAGCGGAAGTGAATTTTCAGTTTTTGATTAAAGATTACGATGGCTGACAATTTTTTCCCAGTGTATGAGCATCGAGCCATTTCCCTGATGAACAGCTGGAAATTTGTTTGTAGCGAGTAGTTTAAGAATAGTTTAGGTCTTGTTCAGACTGTCAGTCCAAATCTGATTATTTGTGTATCCGATTGGAATCTGATTTAAGTGATTGACTGTCCACACTGTGTATCGCAACTGTTCAGATCCAATTTGTGTGTCCCGTGGCACTCTTTTGTTTAACTGAATATCTGCATTGGTTTCTATGGCAATGACGTTGCTTTGGTATGCCCAGTACAGATGTTGTCGTACAACATGACAACATGTTGCGGTCACGCTGGAGTGATTTAAGAGCCATATATGTTAGGCCTATTTATTTAGATAATGGAACATCAGATGGCTTTGACCTGTAATGACTGTACAATGTAGTCATGCAGTTAGGCAGACTAGGATATTTATATGCACAAATCAGACAAATATCCCATTCCAAAACATTTCTAGCACAAACTTACATTGTAAAGAAATTAAAGGGGTCATATGATGCTGCTAAAAAGAACATTATTTTGTGTATTTGGTGTAATGAAATGTGTTTATGCGGTTTAAATTAAAAAAAAAACGGTAACACTTTACTTGAAGGGGTGTGCATAAGACTGACATGACACCTTCATAATCATGACATGACACATGAGGCCTCTCTGGACGCCGTCCGGTTTGATGGCAATGAAGGTGCGCTCTGTTTTGGCAGCCATAGTTCTGAGACACACAAGAAACACTGCTTTCATGACACTGGTTATACAAATGAGGGTCTGAAGCATCTGAAGGAAGGCCGTCAAACTGACGTCATCAGAGCAAGAACGCCATTCCAGAGCGGAAGTGAATTTTCAGTTTTTGATTAAAGATTACGATGGCTGACAATTTTTTCCCAGTGTATGGACTTGCACGGTTCAATTGTTCACCACAAGACTAGTAATGTGCACTAAAAAGTAAGTAGGGTCATTTTTGATTTCATGACGACTAATCATTTTCAATACCACTGGCAAAACTAACAAATACTGTTTACTGCCATATTAAAATATCTATATTTTAAATTTTTTTTTGTACATCCATTTTTTCAAGGCAATCATTATTTCAAGCTTTGAAATTGGTTTAATCCAAGTCTTCTAAAAAGACACATTCGGTATATATGGTGAACAGATTTTAATATAGGCTTTTATTTACATACATATAAATATTGATCAATTACCATTACAAAAATCTCAATCTTAAACATTTGGTCATTCTGTGTATTTGTGTCTTTAAAATAGGGTAACTTGCAAAAGCTTACAGCACAAGGAAGCTTGATTTCAAATTTGATTTCAAACTGAATTGAATTTGCAAAAAAAGACAAGTACACATTCAGTAATAAAATGATCAAACAAATTCTAAAACTCAATTCAGTTGAGGTATCCGAAATATGACAACACTGAATTTTTATAAGCAGTGATGTAAGAGCCATATATGTTAGGCCTATTTATTTAGATTGTAATTGACAGGAGGCGGATGCGTGTCAAACTCACTGTCGGAGAGGAGAGAGAGACGCAGCTTGGAAAAGCGGCAGCTTTTCCCGGTTCAGATATCAGGGCTTATATTGGTCCGTTTACGGTCGGATATCTTTATTGGCTACTGAAGTGCCGTCAAAGGTTTGAATATCAATTCAAATTGTGGGCATACTCCGTTACTTTTAAATCATAGTTCGTTACTAAGTAGATTATTTTGCTTCATTTGTACTTAAGTACAAGTAAAAGTACAGCTTTAAAAATATACTCAAAAAAGTAGAAGTACCCGAAAAAACGACTTAATTACAGTAACGTGAGTAGTTGTAATTGGTTACCTCCACCACTGCGCTGGATTACATTACGTCTTATGCAGAGGCAGAAACATAGGAAACTGGAATTCTATGCTGCCGTCTTTGTCAGTCTCAAAACTCAAAGAGGTGTGTAGACCAGCAGTATATTATTTTCTGCTTGACTTGCATTCGCAACAAAACAGCCTTGTTTCTGCAAAGAAATTCAGCATGTTTTCTACAAACAATGTCTAACGTGTTTAAATTTTACGTAGCGTGAGAAAATGACATGGGCAAAAAAGCTATTTGTATTTGTTTAAGTCTTATTAGTTAATGATAATATTGTGTGTGCGTGTGTGTGTGAGAGAGAGAGAGAGAGAGAATTATGTATGTTTGTGTTAATTGTTTGAGAAATAAATTTGCTTGGTTTTTAATTTGAGTCGTAACTTAATAACCATGGGAAAATGTGGGCCTCAAGGCCATATCAGTTGAAAACCATTGCAATGGAGCATGCTAACTGTGCACACTGTACATACTAGGGGTGTGCAGCGGAGCCAGTATTTGTATTTGTATCTGTAACAATCACAAAATTATTTGTATCTGTATTCGGATAAAAACAGAAGTAGGCGGGGCTTGAACCGGAAGTTCGTACAGTTACTTGAGAACCGTTATGTCTATGGTTTTACAGCCTTTTTCATAGTTATCCCTGAACAAATGTGTCATGTTTAACTCAAATAATTTTCTTATGGATTATAACATTTATTTGATTTAAAGTCGGAGCCGATACACTTGTATAGGCAGTGCTTCGAGATGTACGATTTATTTATCGGATCACGAAAGGTCCCCAAGCTGGGACTCGAACTTGCGTCACCCGAAGCACAACTGCACAAGGTTTAAATCATTGTGGAATCACAGTAGAATGTGTATGATGTAGTATTTTGGTTCATATTGCTCTTGCCAAGCTCTGAGTTCCAAGAGATACACAAAGAGGCAACAGCAATATGGTTGTTTGATTTGTGCTCATTTCATTCATAAAGTTTACATTCATTCACTTCACACATTCATTATTGCGTAGTGACTTTAGAGCTTTTATGTATAATATTGCGCTGATCCCCTGGCTCACCTGTTATCAAGCAAACACCGGGAGTGACAGTGCCAGCCTCAGTCGAATATTATTCAGCAGAATTATTCGTTATCCGTTATTTGTTTTGAAGCCATAATCCGTGCCTTTCCGAATAAGGTATTCGGCTTCAGGCACACCCCTAGTGCAATACTTTAATGTGAAAATTGAACTGAAGCAAACACAATTAACACAGTACTTGTGTGTTACTGTTGTACCTGGTGAGAGCTCACTGCTGCTGAGGCTGGGGGTTGCTGACAGGTTGTGGATGCGTGGAGTGATCCTCTGAGGATGAGGAGTGACAAAGAGTTGCCGTGGCGTTTGTCCAAACTCCAATATCTGAGTTAGCATGGCTATTTTCTGATCTGGGTCCTCAATACTGCAGAAACACAGACATACACACTGACAAATGTACACTGACAAATATAAAACACATAAAAATTGGATCAAAAAGATATTCAGGCAGTCAAGTATGAGCTATTTAACTAGAGAGATATTTTAATTTAATGAAGTTTACCTATCGCAGTCAACTCCTCCCTCATATGTTACTGGATGGAAAACTATAATATAGTAGACATCATTGTATTTACTCATAATAAAATAATATAAATAACATACTAATCCTTCATACTTTGAACACAGTTTTATAATTGAATATTTGACTGATGCCAATCTGCGTTTGTCTATTTTACCATTATGGGCTGCCACAGCTTCACTTCCTCTCTGTTTGTAGCCAAAAACCAGATCAATCCACTCATGCAGGTGTTCAGACACATACTGACTCTCCAATGCTAAACGCATTTTCTCCAAGAAGTCATCTGGATCTGCATATGTACACAAAACAGAGAAATGTGAACAAAACAACATATTGTAAAGTGTTACAAAGAAATTATGGTGAAAGCCAGGATAAGACGTGATCTCATACATAGATCTCTGAAGCAGAACTGGTCGGATAGATAATTTTACAGTCTCTGCACTGGCTACCTATTAAGTTCCGTATCAGTTTGCTATAAGTTTCGTTGCGTCATATAATAATTGCTGTTAATAGTGTTCATCGTCTGTTTGATTACGTCTTTAATTGATTTTTCCATACATTTCTGCCATATGTACATTGACTGACAGTCACCACTGATACGCTACCACTAAATATTGTAGAAACTTAATTTGCTGTAAAGTTGCTTTGCAATGATTTATATCGTGAAAAGCGCTGTACAAATAAACTTGAATTGAATAGTGGCGTTTATTTGCACATGCCACCTGAATTTCATTCATCAGCTATGTAACTGGAGTCTTTACTAATGAGCTGTTGAGTTGAATCATGCGTGTTTGATTAGGAAGACTAAAATGTGCAGTGTTGGGGGTTCTCCAGGACCCGGATTGGGAACCACTGAGGTAGAGGATGCAGCAAGTTGACGCAAACTGCCATAATGCAGGGCATCATTTTTTTCCACACTGTTTTTCATACAATTAAATGAAAATCATGCTCATCTTTGTGTGAATTTTATTCAATTATCTTTTAACCAATTCATTGCAACGTTTTTTCAACTGATTTGTAGAAATAAATCAGACTTGACAATTTTGAAACAGACCAATACACAAGCTGAACCAACCATTTCACAACTTCCACTGTTGTTTAAGGCACAAAATGAGGACGTGAAATAACTTTTTTTAATGAAATTTAAATTGAAATGCCCTTTTCTCATGTTTTTAAAGGTTAGAGAGAACAAAAGTGAGAAGGACATAAGAAAGAATGTGCACCTGATGCCCAAGGAGGAAGTTCAACTTTTTCAACTCTGCCTCCTCCCTGCCTTCTGCCCAAATTCAAACCAAGCAGATTCTTCAGAAAGCTACTATCACTTCCATAGAACTCAGGAATCAGCTGTAAATACACAGATAAAAACACACCAAGTACTTTATTGCATGACCTACATTTGGACCGGTTCACAAAATAGTCAATTTCAGCGCACTGAATTATAATTTTTTTTTAAACCCGGTATTGCAATAAGGCAGGACACTGCATTTGTAAAACTTACCTCTTTGAAATCCGTGCCTCCCTCTAAACAATTCTTCCACGTCTCACCAACACTGTATACACAAATGCACATTAATGTAAACAAATATTTTTCAGTATATGCGTGTTTGTGTGCATCAAATACCTGTTGAACATTCTGTCTGCATGATCAAATCGTCCATTCTGTAGGCAAAGCATGTGCTCTGGAGCTTCAGGAAGGCAAACGATATGTCATCAAATGCTGCAGAGTCCAAAGCTATCACTAAGGGCATTTTCTAACCTACAGATTGCATGCTTGTTCTGAAACAGGGACATAAATCATTATAATGTTGTGTTTTCTCCTTCATTTTGCATTTACAAGGCAACATTTCAGTGTTCAAAGTTTATGCAAGTCACATGTGAGGAAAACCATCCTTTCATTACCTGTCCAAATCGGTATTCAGAGGTCATCCATTAATAAATGAAACTCAAACTTTATTTTGGAAACTACTTCTGTCTGAATAGTGCTACAGAAGCATAAAGCTGAAACAATTTTTAATTAATTAATCAGATTTTCGAATTAGTCAAAAAGACAATGAAAAAAAAATGATAATGATAAGGGTTACTGTGAAAGATGCATTAAAAAAGCACTTAAGCAATGGCAGAGAAAGAGAGACAGAAAAATAGATTCTTACCAACTCTGACAAGGTAGAAAAGCACATATCCAGGTGATGAATAATGACTGCCATACATAAAACGAGGCTCAGGCATGTCTCTGTAGCGTTCCTGTAGCACACACACACACACACACGACAAAAACAAATCATACACACCATTTTTATATGATAAGTAACATCTGAATATAAAAAAGGCTGTCTGTGATTACTAGATTTTTTACCAGTAATCTCTCAAGTCTTTCTGTGTTCAAAGCTCCAATTGGTTTACTGAGATCTCGAAATGAAGCAGGGTTCAGCAAGTCTGAAAAAAAAATATTTTTCAGTATAAGTGTGTGATGTGTGTTCTCAGGATTGTGTCTGTTAGAGAGAGACTGACCCAGCTCTGTGCTGCTGTAGTCACTGATGACCCAGGGGAACACTGGATACTGGGAAAGGTCATTCACACTGCGGTCTGCTAAATTGTTTAGATGAAGTAGGTACTGATAGTTGGAGATGTGACCTCTCTGCCACTGCAGCATGTAGCTCTCTGCTGTGCACTCCACTATATGGTTTTCTACATCAAACATACACACGGATCTTCAGTAAATACAATGTGTTCTTACTGGAATGTACATACTTACAAATTCAGTTTGTTCTGGACCCTGCTGGAAAACCAAGAACATGGCTTTGCTTTTTGGAACATGGTTGTTGGTAGCTGGTTTTACACGTTTTTTTAAAGTCAGTCTGTGAGAACAGGTCCCACTTCTGCTCCTGGAGACCAACTTCATGCTCTGTTCAAGTCATACTTACAAGTTAAATAACAGGAATTCCACAACAATAATTAAGGGGGGATTTTCTTTGACTCCCAAGTTCCAACCTTCTGAGTTGGGGTTGTGTCAAATAAAGTCAATGAATGTTCACGGTACTCTTTAGTTTGTCAACATTTTGTGCACTATTGGAGAAGAAAAATCACTAATGGTTGGTCTGAGGTGACAGGCTTATGCAACCAAACTACAATTACAGTACAAAATACATCTCAGTGTTTCAACCATAAAGGTGTTTTACTACCCAATGCTCAAATGATGGTGTATAAAGAAACACAAAACAAACAGCTACTGTTAGCTTTGTAGTTTGGACCAGCTAATGAGCATAAATGGCCAGCGCTGGACCAGAGTAAAACTAAGACCAGCTACAGTACCATAGGTAGAGGCTTCAGCTGATTTTCCAGCAGGAGACAGCTTTTCTTCACCTGAAGTTAAACCTTTATATATACAGGATAATACTGTTATCCTTTATATGTGACCTTTATATATAGATAATACAGACAGGGCTGGCTGTCACACTTTTTACTCCAAATATTTTAGTTAGGTTATTTAGGTTTATTTGGCTATTAAAAAAAAACACTACTAAATAATTTATGTTATTGCTCAGCTTTTTGGAATGTAATATAAGTAAAACAGCCAGTTATCACTACATTGGAATATAAATATAATGCATTTAAAACGTGTTACATGCTATTTAATAGCTTTTCAGCAAAATTTAAGATGCAAAACAAAACATACAATTCACGAAACAGCAAAAATGGAACAGTTGACAAAAAATATCAAATCACTATTTTAATATAATTACAATCCATTTTTTATTAAAATGTGGTTTTATGTTCACTACTGTTTAACCAACAACTGTTTCAGAAATATGATAATCTTGCATTTTTATATATACACAACATAATACTACTGCTAAACACCCCTATATTTACAGAAATACAGCCCATGTGACAACTTCCCAATGAACCCATGATTAACATACAAAAAAGCCTACCAAGGAAAGTTGCAATGTAGTAGTAAAGCTCATCTCTTTCTTTAGTACTGTAGAACTTTAGGTAGATATCAGAGCACAAATCATTCTCTGTGCAAAACACCTCAAGGCCCTTAACACACACACAAACACACACACACACACACAGTAAGTACACATAAATCCACATATGAATACGTCTCTGCAAATTATTTCCTTATTTTGTGTGTAAATACCATAACAGACACAAAACTAGAGAACAATTAAAGTGAAAAACCATCACATAAACACTCACCAAAGGCCTCAGCCCATGTCTCCGTTTGTAGATGCGTCTTACACTATGTAACCCAATCTGCACCACTGAATCCTTTTAGAAATACAGAAACACACATAAGAACCCCAGTGAAGGAACTGCATATTTGATAAAATTATATATGCCAAAGAAAGCATGGCTCGCACAAAAACTCACAGGATAGCTGTTCATGGGCTGGAAGTAAAGATTGCAATCAGTGATGCAAACGTGACCAGCATTTGTCACCAAAGGAGAAACCATTTCTGCCACACACTCCATGTGAGGGATTTCTGTTACATGCTGAAAACTGCACACACAAACATTATAATTAATCCATCTTTCTACTAGACCACAATTTAGAAATACAGAAGTTTGGGGTCTGTTATCTGAACACTGTAACCTAATAATATACTATTGTTCAATTTTATTTTTTTTTTGAAAGAAGTCTTATATGCTCACGAAGGCTGCATTTATTTTGGTTAAAAAAAATATGATATTACTACAATTTAAATGTTGGTAATACTTTCTATGAAGCCCGTATTTATAATACATTATAAGGGTATTCTTAAGGCATTATAATGAATGCATAATGAATTATAAAAAAACGTTATAATATGTTGTATCAGTTTTAATATATTATAATATTTACTTATTTGTGGTTATAGCTTTTAAGAGTATGATGATTTATAACACAATGAACACGTTGCATCCAACACTTTATTTTGATGGTCAACCAACAGATAAACTGACTATAAGTGTCTTTGCAAGTACGTCAACTTATTCTACCATACTAGATTCTACCATTCTTGAGCATGCTAATACTCTAATGAGAGTTAGTTGGCATGTAGTTGCAAAGTTGCTTATAGTCGATTGATTAAGGGGACCATCAAAATAAAATGTAATCATATAAAACATTGCATTTTTTTCAGTTGGAGTATAAAGCTCACATCAATTAATTAACATTAGCTCCACAGGAAACACTCAACATCTAACCACTCACAAACTGTAGTAAGATACTGTGCAGATCTTAAATAAACAATGTCAAGATATGATACAATCCATTATTCTGTAAATTAAGTAGATTTAATATGGTGTTGTGTGTTATAAATAATCATACTCTTAAACTTAAACCACAAATACATAAGTATTATGATGTATTATAACTGTTGTTATGATTATTCATGAGTTGATATAACATATTATAAGTTTTTTTATAATGCATTATGCATTCATTATAATGCCTTAAGAATACCCTTATAATGTATTATAAATACGGGCTTCATAGAAAGTGTTACCCAAATGTTTTCTGTTTTTTTATATATAAAAATTTTATTTATTCCTGTGATGGCAAGGATGAATTTTCAGCAGCCATTACTTCAGACTTTAATGTCACATGCTCCTTCAGAAATCATTCTAATAAGCTGATTTGGCACTTAAGAAATATTATTATTATCAATGTTGAAAACTGTTGTACCACTTAATTTTATGGAAACCAGAATACTTTGAATAGAAAGTTCAAAAAACAGCATTTATTTGAAACTAGGGATGTAACGATTCACTAAACTCTCGATTTGATTTCACTATTTGATTTTCTCACGATTTTTTTCACAAAATGAGATTGAAGACATTATACAGTAGCCTGAGGGTGCTTTCACACCTGGCCCGTTGTTTCGGAACCTGGCGCGTTTCCCCCCTTAGCAGGGCTCTACAGTCCGACCATTTCCGTCGCATTTGCGACTGAAAACTACTGCATGCGACTATGAAATAATATTTAGGAGCACGACTGACCCGCTCAGCATATTTGTGTTTGCGCTGAGGGAGCTTCAAAGGTTCTAACGTACTTACGTGTTTCTGCAGCGTTGAGTAATGTATCACAGACCTATCCTCTCATTATAACAAAGAAAGTGTTGACAGGGTGTAAATAAGATATTCATTGTGCAGTGTAGGGAGCTTCGTCGATTATAATGGAGTTTTGTGAGATCGCGATGAACTAAGACGAGTGACAGATTTGAATGATCATTAAGGGAGTTTGCAAATGTGATACTGATGTAATACAACAGTTCATTAAACAAGAAGTTAATATTAAGTGACTTATATTGTCTGACAACAACACAATTGCCTTATTTTGCTCTATTTCGTCAACGAAAATAGAAACAAAGTAAGTAACAGCTGAGCCGCTGCGCATCTCCACTCAAACACGGCGGTGTTTCGTTTATGAATGAACTGCGTTTTTAAATGAATCTAGTGAGCCAATGATTCAATTACCCATTCATAAACACAGTCACGTACTTTCACGTACTTCAGCCATTCGAAGGAATCAATTGAATGAATGATTGTGATAAAATCAGTGACTTGCCTGCTGCCAGTTTTAGTTTAATTTTTAAAGTATCTTTTCTGTTATTTAAATCATTTAATATTTCTATATTTAAAATTTTATATTTAAAACATTAACCTCAACATGAATTTAATTGCACTCATGCGACCTCTGAGCCTCATTAAATGTCTGAAAATACACCTACAAGCCACTTGTGTGTTCTTCTGTGCCAACTCTGTAGCACAAATTTATTTCTTAAATACTGATTTCATTTGATTGGTAACTTATTCTTATTCTACTTCTTATTCTACTTGTTTTTATTCTGTTGTTTTAATTAGAAATGCTAAAGCTTCTAAATATATTTTTTTGAATTTGACAAAAGATGAAAAATGCCATTACAAAGGTAAAAACTAAATTCCCTGTAAATCACTCTAAGGAGTCAAATATCACCTCGTAATGAAATATCACCTCAATTTTTTAATTGAGATTTTTTTAGATTTGAAAAGGGAGGAAGAAAAAGTTCGGCAAAAGACGGGATCGAACCAAAAAGTTCAAAAAGCCAACGACAAGCGCTTATCCATCTGCGCCACTGGAGCTGATCATTTACAGCCACTTTTAACAATGTAAATAGACACCCCGTATTTTTTATTCCATAGTAAGGGCAATTCATACAATACATTTAAACTGAGCTACTTTAATACCATCTCCGAACTTTCTACCAGGACTCTGCTGTTCTTCGGCTGGTTCTTCCCTGTATACGTTGATTGACAGATGTCTCGTCCAGTCAGCGGTGAGTAATCCCAAACCAATGGCGCTGTCTCAAACTATACCTACCTCTTCCGGTTTGTCTGATTTGTCGTTGTGTTTTCTGACTTGTTATAATGTTTTCTGAATTGTTGTTGTGTTTTCTGAATTGTTATTATGTTTTTTAGACTTGCATTTGCGTTTGTAATTTGCTATTTTGTTTTCAGAATTGTGATTTGCTTTGCACTTCTCGGCCACCGTACAATCCGATCTAACGGACCAACGAACCAGGCAATATCACAATGTATAATGGGTAATTACGTAAATTCCGTGAAAAGCATTAGCTTTGTTGTTTTGCTAATACTTCAAAACATGGGCGTCGGAAGCAAAATAAATGTGGATGGGTCCTCCCCCAGAAATAAATTACTGGAGTATATGCCATTTTCTGTAGTGTGGTGCCTTTTAATTAACAGTGTCTATTTACACAAAGTGCAAATAGGCCGCCTGATTGGCAGACTATTTACTTCACCTCCGCTCACTAACGTGACAACATTACAAAAGACAGCTGTTCAGCAACATTTCCAGTGGTGTAAGTGGTAACGCGGGTTGCGTAGTGTTTTTGATGCAAGCGACCCGAGTTCGCGTCCGCCTTTTTGCCGAAATCGTTCTTCTCCCTTTTAACATCTCATATCACATCAGAAAGGCCTTTTTTTTTCAATAAAAATAAAATCGAAAAGTTGAAATAAAGTATCAGGTAGGGTTAGGTGTATCTGAGCAGCAGATGCTGATGCTTTGTTTACTTTGCTGTGTGGCGGGAGTGCAGCAGGACATCTCATATCACATCGGAAAGGCTTTTGTTTTCAATAAAAATAAAAATCAAGGAAATAATCGAAAAGTTGAAATAAAGTATCAGGTAGGGTTAGGTGTATCTGAGCAGCAGATGTTGATGCTTTGTTTACTTTGCTGTGTGGCGGGAGTGCAGCAGGCGTGAGTAGTGAAAACACAGAATGGAGTTTAATTTATATGGACTCTGAATGAGCCGAATGGAATGGATTTGAGGAAGCAGCAGCGTGGAATTCACGGCTGTAGCTAAATGGAGTTTAATTTATTAGGGCATTCATCATGTGGAATGGATTTGACTGATGGCGCTCTGAAAAGTACACATATTCGCTGAATTAGAGATGGTAAAAGTGGGTGGGTCCAATATCATTGGTCTTCAAAAGTGGGTGGGTCTGTCCCACCCTCATTCAATGGTTCCGACGCCCATGCTTCAAGATGAACCTGTGAATGTCTGTGGGACATCCTCGCCATTCAAAATCAAAGCGCACTTTTTCATTTTATAATGCCGTCTTATTGCTCTTCTTCCTAGTATGTGAATTTTAAAAATGTTTTCCCGATGAATCCTGGACTGGATTTGACTGATGGCGCTCTGAAAAGTACACATATTCGCTGAATTAGAGATGGTAAAAGTGGGTGGGTCCAATATCATTGGTCTTCAAAAGTGGGTGGGTCTGTCCCACCCTCATTCAATGGTTCCGACGCCCATGCTTCAAGATGAACCTGTGAATGTCTGTGGGACATCTTCGCCATTCAAAATCAAAGCGCACTTTTTCATTTTATAATGCCGTCTTATTGCTCTTCTTCCTAGTATGTGAATTTTAAAAATGTTTTCCCGATGAATCCTGGACTCCTGCTCAAAGTGATAAATTAATATAACGACATCTACAAAACAAACAAAAAAACAATAAGCCCGCGAAGCTGTTGTCGTTCCAACCTGACATGACAGCTGTGACAGCTAAGTGGAGTCCCGGAAAATAAACCGTGAAACTTTGACCAATGAGAGAACAGTTTACTCGCGCATGACTTGTATTAACAAATTTGGTCCGTTTAGAAACATTGCTGTGTGAAAGCGTACCGCACCAAGAATAAAAAGCAACATTCATTGTAATCATTTTAATCCCTGTTTCGGAACAAAGCAATCGATCTACAGGTATGAAAGCACCCTAAATGAAAAGGTGTCGTTTTATTAGGCTATTGCTGCACGTTTCTTTGTGAAATTTGAAATATAACAAAACTAAATTTACATTTTAAAGGGGTCATAATGATGCTGCTAAAAAGAACATTATTTTATGTATTTGGTGCAATGAAATGTGTTTATGGTTAAAAAAACACATTATTTTCCACATACTGTACACTATTGTACATGTGACGACCCCGGGCTGGACTCCGCTTCGTCCACGGTGAAAGCCGATCCGGTGACCCACAGCGCGAAGTTTGTATTTCCTCAGCGGCCAGCACGGATCAGCTCTAGGCATGAGGAAGCAGATATCGTCCTCTTTTGGAAGGCCAAACAAAGTAGTTCGCTTTCACAAGAGTGAACAAACTAAGGCTTTGTGTGCTCTTTCCATTTAAAATTAGAGGCAACCACTGGATTTTAATCATGATCCAACGAAGATGCAGCATACATGCAGCATGAGTAGTTTTTAATCTAAATTAGACTATAATTTCGAAATTTGAAGCAAAAACAGAATGGTCTGACTTTAGTTTTGTGAAACTACAATACATAAAACATATCTGAACGAAACAGCAGACGAGCTGAATGAGACGCATATTCACTCTGACAGCAGGTGTCGCTTATGAACAGCAATGATACAGTGTTTCCTGGGTTACTGCTGTAAACAAAGCAGAGCTGCGCCTATGAACACTACTTTAATATGCATACTGCATAGAGACCAAAGAAGAAATATTTTGAAAGACCAAAAAGAAAATACCACATACTTTTCTAAAGACAGTCAGTTCCCCTCAGAGATACATTCATATAAACTCCTACTCCAATTGCATCACGATTTGTTTGGCATCTCAACCGATTTGAATCGTCACATTATTTGAATCAATTTTCGACCGGCTCGCGGTTAATTGTTAAATCCCTATTTGAAACGTAAGTATTTTGTGACATTATATGTCTTTACTTTCACTTTTTGATCAATTTAATGCATACTTGTGAATAAAAACATGAATTTTTTCTTTAAAAAAAAAAAAAAAAAAAAAAAAAAAAAAACCTATTACTGATCACAAACTTTTGAACAGTAGTGTATGTACTGCTTATGTACTATTGTATGCGGTGTGAAACTGAGATCATCATTCATCAACATGAATATGATACTTGTTGGTTCTTACCTGTTCTTATCAAAACATGTTCTTGCTAACCTGGACTGCAATATAGCTGCAACCTTCAGCAGAAAAACAGATCAAACAAAGATCACAAATAAATCTTCAAAAAGGGAAGCAAATGATTATTAATGGAAATTTGTTTCATTTTACTAACCATTGCTGCCTGGTCACCCTGCTTATCCAGACAAGATGCTCTGTGTAACTATAAAAGTTGCCAAATTATTTAAACAAACGAGATGAAAGTCACAATGCAAATTCAGAAATCTCAAAGAAAAGGAGGGAGGGAGCCAAACCTGTAATAACATCTGAACAACATCCTCTGTTTTTCCGGGTGCCTCCAATTGGAATGTGACCTTTATCTCTCCCTAACATGCATCAATTAATGAATACATAAAAAATTAATAAATATTATGTCTTGAAATTTGCCAAAACTCTAAGAGGGAATAAACAACAGATGAAAATATCAACACTAATTATTTGTTCCACACCCACTTCACATCTATCTTGGACAGAGACAGAAAAAAAATGAACTCACCCTTTCATATTTATATGGAGCAACCACACTTTCTTCTTTAATTAGATAAATCTGAGAAACAATTTTTTTTATAAAACTTGAAACTACAGCTATTAAAGAATTAAGAGGAACTGTGTGCGAGGCACACTCACCTGCTTGGTTTCTATAAGAATACAGGCAGGTTTACTTCTGCACACACATAAAAAAGGAATTGAGAAAGAAAATAATTATAAATATCTCCATGCAAAATTACACTAAACTCAAACACATCAAACAAAACAAATGATTTATGTGAACATTAATCATTAGTATTACTCTATAAATGGGTTGTGGACCGTTTTCTCCACTGTTGCTATTCCTTTGCAGCCTTTCAGAGGAATCTGCATGAAACACATTTTCTTATTGTAGAACAAGAAAAACAGCAACTAAGTCTGGTGATAATATGAAAATAATACCTTTAAAATAGGCTTAACAGCATCATCAGGTTCGAAAATGACTGATTTGGAACAGATTTTTAGCGAGCCACTAGTTTGTCTGTGTATAAAAAGAGATATTACAGAGACATCAAATGTTATATTTGTTCAGTGGCAAATTCTGAATCATACAGACGAGGGGACTAGAACGTAGCATAAAAGTCATATTATACTACCATCATACTACATACTATGATGCTTACTGTCATTTTCACTCTTGTTTTCCATGGAGAGAAAAATCTGACAAAATGAGGGTGAGTAAATGATGACAGAAGTTCCATTTTTGGTTGAACTATTCTTATAAACTAACTAATGTGTGAACTGAGAAAAAAAAAATCAATGAATTAGGAAATATGCCTTCACAGACAAGGATTCAAGGAATCATCCATAAAAACACATCCTGCTATACACACAATATCTTATCGTTTCAAAAATAAACATGATGCTAGTGAATCACGCTCAGTCTCTAGTATGTTGTCACTGTTTTGGCAGATGCACACCTGTGACACTATGGAGTGTACAAACGAGTGTAGGTAAACATATCAACAAAGTTATTTTTGCAACAACTCCAGCTCTCTGATGTGCGATGTGTCCAAATACCTTGCCTCATTTAATTCACTCCTTGCTGATATAGTGCATGTAACTGCCATGCACTGTACAGAGATCATAAATGAGTGAACAAGTAAACGATTTCAGACACATCAAGAGGGTCAACAAGAGTCGATTCCTGTTTTACAGTTGACCCTGACACAAGAGCTATTCAGAGTCAAGGAATCAACTTTTTTTGGAGTCGACTCCCCATCACTAGACAAACATATAGCCAAGCAATTCGGTGTCATATTCTGAAAACCTCTTGCATTTCCCTAATAAATTATTCAAGATCAGTTATTCAGTTAGTAAGCTCACCTGTTTGCCACCGGACCTCTGCTGGTCAGATTATATGCAGTGTGCTGTTCAAAATAATGTTCCTCCAGATCCAGCAACAGCAGCGAAAATCTGCACATAAACATGAACAAATGGCAAATGTTTAAACGGTAGCGGGTTGCAGCAGGACAGGAAATAACGGAACACAAAATATTGAGAACTTTACAAATGAATTTAATATTAATTACACAGTACAATGCACAGTTTGTCCACAGTGATACATTTCTAAAGGAATGTGTAAAAGTTCCTGAAAGTCCCTAATGGGATCAAATAAGATGTAATCTAATCTTTATTAAAACCCCTACTTCTTGTTTTACAATGTGTACTGAGTTCATTACACAATGTGTAAGGAGTTTTAAAAATGTGAAAAGTTTACTTTAAATGATCTTTTGGTGTTTTGCAGGTATTTTATGATGCCGCTGGAATTGTATCCCGTCTTACTGGCAAATGTGTTTTAAGATCTCATTTTTGTTTTGTGTTGGAATCCTATAAGAAAACTCTCATTAGGCTCTTTTAAAGGGATAGTCCATCCATTAACCTCATCCCATCCCAGATGTATGAAAAGCACTTTCTTCAGTGGAACACAAACAAATAGTTTTAGAAAAAAATCTTTCCATTTCTGTGAGTCCACAAAATGCAAGAGAATTGTTGCCCAAATGTTTATAAATGCTTCATATACCAAACAAAATGATCATGATGGTATTGGTAACCCATACAAAGCCAGAGGATAAAGTGAAACAACAGGTGTGTGAGAAAAATATTAATATTTTAAACTACAAACCATCACTTCTGGCTAACTGTTTTTCTAAATGATGATAGAATTTTCATTTTTGGGTAAAGTATCCCTCTGGTTTCAAATTATAAAGAAAAATTCAGTGAGCTTCAGTGTACACTCAGTAAAGGTCTGTTCACACCAAGGACAATAATCAGAAAAGATATGTTGCAAAAGAGCAAGGAAGTTAATGTTTTTTTATCTAAAGATTACGAGGACACTTTAAAAAAAAATGATGTGAGAGATAAATAATTTATAATAAACACTGCAACATCCTATAAATAAATAAATAAGAATTGTCCATTTTGATTTCACAGTGACTTAAAGTAAAGTGGCCTGGGCACTGCCTGAAGGAGCTATATATTGTAACGTTAAACAAATTAATAAATGTTAATAAAGTCAACTGTATGACAGAGCTGGTCATGTGACATCAACAGCCCTCATATATGTTAGTGCAATCATATTTATTTTAAAACGGCAAAAAAAAATGAGTTCATTTCTAAATTAGGTCAAAACAAAAACGTATTGCGATTACAATGCGATTGAGAGTCTTAACATTAATGCTACAAGGGGAATGTTCACACGCATAAGACAAACAAAGAGACTGGGAATTATATTCTCTCCATATACAAATCACCCGATGCTAGGAAAATGTTAATTAAGGTAAAAATAAAAGTATTCACAAGAAAAGCTTAAATATGCAACATAAATGCTACACGTAACAACACTGGTGTTTGATGTGTTTACTGGCCTATGAGGATGATCCAGCGAGCTAAAGTGTCCAAACAGGCTTGAAGTCAGAGTCCTACGGGACGGATCCGTGTAGAATGCCGGGCTAAACAATGTGTCAGTTAAAATGTGAAAGCACAATACCGTTCTTTGCTGCGATCCTTCTTCGTAATGAAAGCCATGATGGATCAGTGCCTGCTGCAGAGATGTAAACACGGAAGTCCTCTGAAAAGGAAGAACCAGCTGATCGATTCTCACGCGTGGACACATTCTGGCGCTCATGTCTCTGTCATGCTGCAGTGGAGAAATAACCATTTACGTTTTTTTGAATTTGTGTTTGTACATTCATATTCTGTTGACGGGACCAAATGTAAAATTCTACTTATAAAAACTAATCCCGGTCCTTGATTATGATTGGCTGAGCCACGTGACCTCACTGTTGTGTTTATTTTATGAAACAAAAGAAAAAGAAAAAAAAAACCTTGCCAAGTAAATGTAGTAACCTTTTTATGAAAGCAATAATCCCTGTGATGTTATTTACTGTGATTTCAAAACAGCTTTGTTTTGTTTTTTAAAGGCCCCTTAGCGGTTCTAAAATTCTTGTAAACCACGGCTTCTTCTGATCATAAAATGCATAGCTATAGATAAAAATATATATTTCTTTTTCTCTTTTTCCTTCCACTGTAGAAAAATTAAGGCAAACGAAATTGCAGTAGGCTACTACATTTGAATTTGAACCTACTTCATAAGCTTTAAAAAGTATCATGGGTCTCCAAACCGTGCTCCTGGAGAGCTGCTGTGCTGTCCAGCAGATTTCAACTCCAACCCCAATCAAACACACCTGAACCAGCTAATCAAGGTGATCAGGGCTATTTGATAATTAGAGATGGGTGTGTTGGAGCAGGGTTGGAACTGAAGTCTGCAGGACGGTAGCTCTCCAGGAGCAGGGTTGGAGATTCCTGTTCTTTAGAGTATAAACACAGGTGTCCATCGGGTAGTATGAATGAAATTCTGACGTACAACATGCGCCATGCTGTTACTGTCACCTGACCTACCTGCGTCAGTTGCGTCACTGCACTGCCATTTATAAATTATCTCCCGTGGACTCATGGGACATACTACACTTTTGGCATACTGTTTTTAGCATATTATATAATAGGAAAGTATTCGATTTCAGTCACAGCAAAAGTAGAAATAGCAATGTGATTGATGACTGTAACAAAGTTCGTAGTCACGGGAAGAAGACTTTAATAATAAACAAACACAAAATGAAAGTAAAGCGGCAGCCCCTCGCGGACGACTGCACACAAAACACAAAATAAACTCCAGGCCTGGTCCTCTCTCGTCCAACACGGTCGTCACTCCCCACACACTTATTATTGAAATGTTACTTAACATCTTAGGGGGGTCAAAGGGGATTGGCTGACAAAGAAGTTTGGTAATTCATTCTGTTTGGTATGTGTGGATTGCACTGTAAATGTGCATTTTAATGTGTTTGAAAGACAAAATCCTTACAAAGACACATAATACATGGTTAAATGACTGAGTGATAATTCAAATAATATTTAAAATGTGTTTGCCAGGAGTTGATTAGAAATGCAATTTTGGAGAAAAAAAGTAGACAGCAAACAGATACTTCTGGCATCTCTGTGTTATTGGTCAGTGACACATCCATTTTGATGCTAACGCTCCTTGCGATGAGTAGGCTTGACATCCTAAGATGGGGATACAAGTCAGAGAAACATTTATTAGACCTATGGAGAGTACAACAGGAAAAAGAAAGGAATCTCTCACAATTAAATCAAATCTTAAAACTTACTTGAATTAGAGAGGAGTGTGGCGTTTTCATCTGAATGTAGATGACCAAACAAGTAATACTGCACTCCATAGTCCAGACCTGCAGTGACAGTACAAAATATGTATTTATTTATCAATCAATCATAAGAACCTGCTTGATAAAATGTGGAAAATAGAAGAAGAAAAAAATATATCAGTAAGATTAGCTGATTGATGAGTTTCCCAAAGTTGATACTGTGAGGAAAAAGAAATAATGTACCTTTTGTTTTATTGTTTTGCAGCAAGTTGGTCATGTTTCCTCTGACTTCCACTTTTCAGCACTCTGATAAGGTGGTGCTAAAACTTTAAAAGTGCTCTCTGAAATAGATGAACCTACAACGACAAAATACAGTGTGTTTAGAATAATATACAATTACTTCAGCAAAACAATTATATTTTACTATACTGCAAACAACAAATACTCACGGTTTAACATCTCCATCAGCTTCTCTCTTTGTTCTTCTTGGTTTGAATTCATGTTTATAACGGCTGTCTGACGGTGATTTGACCGAAAATTTGTTTCATCTTTTCCTATAGGTCCAACACAATCTACAGCGCAAAAAATCTTAGGATATAACATGAACTCTCGCCAGCATTATTGATCAATTCACAACAGTTTTATCAAGATACTTTAGGGATTCATGTTAAAAATGACAAACCTCCCGGCGGAGAATTGCGCAGGCCTGGACAACGCGATAAACCACCTTTCTTCTTTTTAGCTTCTTGAAATAAACGTGTAACGTTAGGCTAACTAAAAATGACAAGGGTTTAGGTAAAAGTAATTGAAATAAGCTGAAATTAATTAATTTTCTCACTTACCAATATAATCGTAGTTCTCCCGAGCGCTGAGCGCAGTCAGCGCACCGTAACCGTTGAAGTTTAAACAGCG